CCAGGCCCAGTGAGGCCCGTTCGCATGGTGCTGATCTGTCTGCGCCAGGCCCAGTGAGGCCCGTTCGCATGGTGCTGATCAGTCCTCTAGCGCTGCTTCCTTCTACTTGTTGTTCTTAGGCCTTCTCCTTAACAAAAGCAAGCCAGCAGGTGAAACGTCCTTCATATTCTTATCATTCAGCAATGCTGTGCAAGAAAGCAGTGGTGACTTAAGGGTTTGACCTTGAACAGGGAACATGTGGCTCTTTAATCTCAAGTCTTGCTCTGCCAGGGCTTGATTGAAGTCCGTCTCTCCGAGCCAGATTCCCGTACAGGTACGCCTGCGGTTCTATTTTCCTTTTCACTGGAGTTCTCAGGTGACGTCTAGTTGTGCAGTCACAGCTACCCAGCAAGCAGCAGGACCCGGAGAGCTGCATCACCGGCCAGCCGTTCTGAACCAAGTCAGCTTCAAGAGCCGTCTTCCCCCCCCTTGTAGGTCATCAAAGCGGTCTTGGATCTTCAGCTTTGTGCTTCCTTTGCACCGTGGTGCTCAGCAAGTAATACTAATCAGTTGTTGCGTTAATTTATATTGAGGAGCCTTGTGAAGCTCCTTTTTTAATTATAGTGGCTAATCGGGTTGGAAGGGGCTGCCTGTGCCAGGCAGCTTTGGCACTAAGCAGCGAGCTTGTGCAAATGGCACCAGCAGAAAGACTCCCAGCCCGAAGCCCCCTGGTTATGCCACTCCAGCGTGCGGTAGATTAAGCTTTGGCCCGTGACCAGAAAGCATTAAGCACCAGTTCCCTGGTTTGCCTTAGGCCTCGCGGTGACCTGCCATCCGGCAGCAGCACTTAAAACGCATTTCAGCTGCGGAAAACAGCTGGCTCTTTGGCTCGGGCTGCAGTCCTGAGCAGGCAGGGAGCAAGGGGGGAGCGAAGCAGGGCTGGAGCCGGATTCCCTGCGTCTGTCTCTCTGACCTGGGCTTGGCGTGTCTGTCCGTCCGTCCAGACATCGGTCTACCTGGTCTGCACGAGCTCTTACCGAATTGAAAGGAATTGAAGGCGATTGGTCGCAGGAGATGGGAGAATGCATCGCAGCGTTCGTGAGGCTCTGATTGCGTCGGCCCCGAGTTACTGCACGAGAGCAGGGATCTGGGTTTTCCAGCGCGTTCGTTCTTGCCGCGAGGCTGTTGGAGCTGTTTTACTTTCGTTTGCGGGTTTATTCGCATTTAGAACTTTGCACCAGCTGTGGCCACTTCATCCGATTATAGGCAGGCCATGATTTTAAACCATCATCGGTGAAGCAGTTTCAGTATCTTGGAAGACAGGAATTCGACGTTCCCTTCCACACCTGGGTTTTCAGTTGGCATGTGGATATTTGCACCGTTTCTGTTGGGTGAAGAAAGGAGTCCATTTTAAAAACTTTAACCACGGCACTACTTAAGGAAAATTTTATTACAACGCGGAGATCCGTTTATATTGTCGCTAACCTGCCAGCTGATGAAATCGAAGCTCCTGTTATTTGGGTCACGGCAGACCTCACCGATGTCATCTGAGTTGTAAAGGGCGAGACTTGTAGGATCGAATCTGTAAACGTGCCCTAAATCAGCTGCCTTTCAGATGTAGCTGTAGGGAGACCTGTATTGGTCTCCCTCGGCGATCAATTCTACCCTTCGCACCCATTGTTTTGCCTTTTCAATATCGCCGTGTATTTCTAGACGAGATTTTTTTTTCCCCCTTTTCTTTTTGCTTGCTTTTTGTTGTGCAGCGGAATAAACTTCCAGACACCGTTCTGGGCCGCGTTCCAGCTCCTCTGGTGAAGAAGAGCCTGGGTTCAGCTGCCACAGTCTGGCACGGGAGGCAGCGGGGATATTTTGACAGGCGCTGGGCAGCTCCTCACCCAGGACGAAGTGACCCAGGTTCAAATGGACTTGCGAACCCGGGCTTGTGGGAAAGCTGGCCCTGGTGCCAGCCGAGCAGGTGACATCACTGGTCCAGCAGCCTGGATGTTGCTTTCCCCCTTGTGCTGGTCCTTGAGTCCGGGTTTCGGCCCTGGTTGTAAACGTGGAGTCTGCAGAATGTCATGGGGTTGCGTGCGTCTTTGTTCCTGTGTCAGCAAGGCCTGTGAAGTGCAGAAAGATGTAAGAAGTGAGGGGACACAGTTAACTCTCTGACTCGGGGTGTGTCGATAGCAGTGACGGGCTGGGAGGGGAAGGGAAGACAGGTTCTGTGCGGTGGCCTCGCCTGCCACGTGAGGTCGTCGCGACCAGAACCGCATGTACCCGGGCCCAGGACCCGACCCGGCCTTGTCGCGGTGCCGCCACTGTCTTCGGTGGGCATAGTTGCCTCCAGAATAAGCGGATCTTCCATAGTGCGGTGCATCATGTCCGTTTAGGAAACAGTGGTGTGTTTCGGCTTAACGCACAGTTTTGGCGGATTGTTTAGCAAGTTGCTGCCGTGTGGGTGAAATATACAGTTAAAGAGATCATTGTTAAATGCATCCTGCCTTTAAAACAGCTCTGAATGTGAACTGTACTTCCAGACAGATGTTATCAGAAACGTCTGTGATAACAAATTGTGCCTGACTGCTTGGTTTGGACTCGGAACGGTGGCCCCCTTTAATCTTGATTCATTTTTCCCAGCAGAAGATGGCTGTGGAATGGTGTTGCTGCTGTTTCCTTTCGGGGACACGAGTCATTTTCTCTCCTCTCTGTCTGGCTCTCTTTCCAGCAACGCTGCTCATGGGTTCTCTCTTATTCCTGTGGACAGCTTGAAGGTAACCATGAAGGAGATCCTGCAGAAAGCGCTCAAGAAGAGGAAGGGATCTCAGAAAGGCTCGGGTAAGTTATTTGTTCTGTGCAGTCGGCCGCTAGCCTGGGGTGAGGGTTCGGGAAAGGGGGTTCCCTTGTTGATTTTCTCTAGGACCGATCACTGCGGCCTGCGTTAAGCTCCAGCCACAGGAAGAGACTGTACCCACTCAGAGCCCATCGAAGACTCACCTTGTTATATCTTTTTTTTTATCCCTTAAAAAAGAAGCTGCCCTTGATAGTCTTTGACCTGAATGCTTCCACGTTTTTCTGTTGGTTTTTCTCTTTTTAATATTTCATTGAGAAATTCAAGCCAGTTAAGTGTCCTGGGAGGCTCCACTGACAGGTGCTAAACAGTCGTTCACACGAGTGATCAAAATGGTCTGGATCTTTTTCTGATCTGGTTTGGCTAGATTTATACCCATGTGTGGATCTTGAATCCTTTAAGAAAAGATGGGGGGGGGGGGGACTTTTTAAGTTTGCAGCAGGCCCTGGATCAATGAATGTGATCAGAAGTGTGTGTGTATATTGGGGATCAATGACTGTGATCAGAAGTGTGTGTGTATAGTGGGGATTAGTGACTGCGATCTGAAGTGTGTGTATGTTTAACGGGGATCAATGACTATGATCAGAAGCGTGTGTGGCGGGGATCAATGAGTGTGATTAGAAGTGTGTGTGTAGCAGGGATCAATGACTATGATCAGAAGAGTCTGTGTAGCGGGGATCAATGACTGTGATCAGAAGTGTGTGTGTGGCAGGAATCAATGACTGTGATCAGAAGTGTGTGTGTGTAGTGGGGATCAATTACTATGATCAGAAGTGTGTGTGTAGCGGCGATCAATGACTGTGGTCAGAAGTGTGTGTGTAGCGGGGATCAATGACTGTGATCAGAAGTGTGTGTGTAGCGGGGATCAATGACTGTGATCAGAAGTGTGTGTAATGGGGCGTTCCAGTCGGAATGGAGGGGCAGCAGGTGTCTGGACGTTCAGTTTCTCAGTAGAACCTGAGCGTGGAGGAGCGATCAGAGCGTTCGTCCGCGTGCGCATATTTGTACCATGAAAGACGCAACAGACAATGCGAAGCAGCGAGGAGAATGCCTGAAGACCGAGAGGAGGCAGGCCGCCACGCTGGAGTCCTGCGCGCGTCTCCCCGCGATCTGGCCGGCAGCCAGAAGCCATTGCTCCCCCTCTGCCGCAGCGCCCCGGTCCAGATGTGCCAGCGGCACGTTTCGGATTTTGCCAGCTGACTGCACCGTTTGATAACCCGCTCTCTGGATGCCCATCACCGGCCGCAGAGATGGAATTAAATGATGATGATCTTCCCACAAGTTGGGAGAGGAAACAACGCATATAAATCTTGATTTCATCTCAGCATGAGAAGTCTTTATCCATCATCACTCTTAATGAACAAGTCATTAGCTGCGATGAATGGCGCTCTGGGTTCCCTTTCAGCACCGCTTTTGTTCACATTTTAGGGGCGACTTTTACGCCCTTTCTGGGGGTCAAACTTACTTCCTCGGATGTGGGGGAGACCCCTTTAATCCCTGAGGTCATTCTGAAAGCGTGTTCCTGTCTTACAGGGAGGGGGGGGGGGGGGCGGAGATCCTCCTTTTTTTTGGGGGGGGTTTGTTGGTTTTTCCCTGAAGCTTTAAATTCTCGTCCTCCAGCCGCCCGTGTGAGCAGCCTCTGTCAAGATGGTTTTTGTGTGCACAGTCTCCCACCTGCTTCAAGCTCGGAAAGTAAATAGAAGCTGTTTTTTTTAGAACTGTTGTGAACCATATAGCTAAGAATCTGCTTTCTCCTCTATATATTAAATTATTCAAAATCATTTATTTTCTCAGACACAGGCGACTTTTTAACCATCAGTGTAATTAAGATGTCTTTCAGGCAGTGTGTTATAATTTGTTTATTCTTTGCTGTGTTGGCTTGCAGTCAGCCTTTGAACCGTGTGTTGAGGGGCCACAGGGTCCTGTCTTGCAGTACTCCACTGCGTAGGAGATTAGCACGCAGTGCCACAAAATTTACATCTTTAAACGTTCTTCAAGAAGCCGAATTAAGTGCATGCGCTGATTTTCAGCATGCTAGGTTTTACACAGCATTAGCTTTTTATTTCCTCTCTAGCAAAAATAAAAATGACCTGGAGCTCCTCTTTTAAAGCATGAAGTGCTTCTCGCGTGTCTTTTATGACGAGTCTCGGTTCAGCTAAAAGCTTCTTAAACACTTTAATGGCATGTATACCCCCAGGCTACCAAATGCAGATCCTCATCCACCTGCATAAAATTTGAATGAAAGAGTTGCAGGAGGCCCGGCTTGTCTGTGACGCCACATCGCTGACGGGCTCTTTCAGAGCTTCCTCGCAGAGCCAGGGCGAAGTACAGCTGAGCGTGGCCCACAAGAAGGCTTACTTACTGCACACAGCTCCTCATCACTGCGGCTTGTTAGTGACCGCTAGTGTGTTCCGTTGCAGAGCGACTGCTGAAGTGATCCAGCATTAAACAAGTCGGAGAGGTTCCACACAACGTAGAAGAGAAACCTGTCATGTACATAAACGTGTAGCTGGATATCATCAAGCGTGCTAGTCACAAGTGCAGTTTGGTGGCACTGTGGCTCGTCTTGTGAGGGTCTGGGTTCTACAGAATCCTTGGGTCTCCACAAACTACAGGGCATTTTTAAATTGCCCCCCCTCATGGGTGAATAAAGTATTTTCAGTTGAACTGAACTATTAGGAGGCAGCGGAAGTCGACACTTTTGAGTGCACACTTGCCGGTTCCCCCCAGTCATCGTATCGATTTCTGAACGCATGTGTAGGATTTTGAAGGCGTGAAGAAACGTTGTTGTGTACAACCGACCGCTCCAGAGCAGTTGTGACTCCAGACCTAGGAGTGGAGCGGAGCACTGGTGTCTTTCGTTCGCGTGCTCTTCTGTCTCGCGCCTGTCTCGTCAGGGGTTCAGCTCGGAGACTGTAGGCTTGTTGTAGACGAGGCTTCTCTCGGCGTTTTCTCATGCAGAAACAGCGGCGCAGCTCTGGTTTGAGCAGGGAGTTTCATTGGAGCTTGTCAAGATACGAGGCTACCTAACGGCAGGCAAGAATCCTGGGATGCTTTTTCTGGAATGTTTGAAATTTCTCCTGTTATTTCTCCTGGTTATCGAGTCTTTGAGAGGCAGTGCCTGGTCCCAGCACCGCGGCCTCATGTTCCTGCGTGTCTGGAACTGGGGTGGGGTGTGTGTGGAGGAAGACTCCTGGGCTTGGACCTGGACCGGCTCCTGCTCGCCGCTCGTCTCAGTCCGTGGAGCAGCTCTGCATAGCTGTGCCTCGGCACCACTCGGCTTCCTCCGGGGCACAGCGGCGCTCGGCTGGAGCTCCGTGCAGGGCCGGCTGTGGAAATGAAAACGTGTCCTCCGTCCTCCCGTCGTCCTCCTGCTTGGAGGTCTGCTCCTCCCCAGGCTCCGCGTCCCTTGTGGGCGGCGTGTCCCTTTGTTTGTGTGCAGAAAGGACAAACACCCATTACCGCGTGTGTCAGCTTCATAAACAACAGCAGCTCTTCTGCGGACATCAGTAGGGGGTTAATAGAAGCACTGCATCACTGTTCTGCGCTCATGACTTGAAGGAAGCTCACCTGAACAGAAGAAATGGATTGAAGGGAGGGGGGGGTGTGTGCGTGCGTGTGTGTGTGTGGAGGGGGCAGCTCTCTAGGGCTTAAACCTGTTTGGGAGACACAAAAATCTCTTTTGTCAGCAGTGCTAAGTCATAAGAGTGTTTATCTGAACATTTCCAAGAAAAATGCAAACAAAGCTTTGAAGTTTGCACAAATCATTAATAGTTCAATAAAGGTAAAGCTCTCCCCTTTGGATTGTGCATGTGTCCTTGATACTGCAGATATCCTGACAGCAGAGCACAGAGCAGCTGCCTGACCCCTGGGCAGACTGCCTCCGACCCCCAGGTAGCCTGTCGCCCTGAGGGATCAGGGGAGGGATCGTCAGGCGGGCAGTACCTGCAGAAGGCAGTCTGTGTGGACTGGAGAGTCTGGCACGTAGCCAGTTGATGGCCGGTGCTTTTAAGATGCAGCGGTTCAGTTAGGGCTTTTCTGGGTGTTTATTCCTTGGAGCCCCTTTTCAGCTTCCAGGCCTGGGTTTACGCATGCAAGGGCTGAGCCCAGTCTCCACACGAGCTCAGAATGTGAAGCCCATGGCACCCTCGGAGCCTCCTCTGGTTGTCAGGGGTGCGCGGACAGCCCGTGGTCGAGATGCGCAGACAGGCGTGGGGGGAAAGCTCCCCAACTCTGATCATGCCCCACACCCCTTTTTAAAGATAATTCAGGAAGACAGCAGTCCTATTTACGGTTCTCATTCTATAAAATGATCCCAACTACAGTCTCTCGTGACCAGTAATGTGATAGTGCCTAAGGCACTGTTTTCAATTACTCACAAACACAAGAGCCACTCTGCTTCTCCCTCACAGAGGAGACCTCGGAGTCCTGATTGAGACATGGAAAACAAAAAGAAATCCGAACTTTTTTTTTTTTCAATTATTGATTTAGTACTTGCTCTCCATGTGGCTTGTTCTTTCTTTTAAATGTGCAAGTGTTTTTTATTTGAGTCCTTTCTTCTGTTGGCTTGTCGTGCCTTAAACGCATGTGTGTAATCACTGCAGATATGGAGCCGGCAGAAATAGGCATGTTATTAATTAATGGTTTTGTTTTTTGTTCTATTGATGGTGCTCTTCTTGAACTTTCAGAAACTAACTGAGCTGGCAGTAATGAAGGGAGTTATTGACTTTCAAATGGGCTCGTCGGGTCTCTCGTTTGTAATGTTCCTTGTGTTTTGAAGTGTGTACTTCAAATTAAAACTTCAAAATTAGTCATGTTGACATAAGAAACATTAAATGAAGCTGCCTTGTGCATCGCATTTTAAGCTTCATTGACAAAAATGTTGCAAGGTACTCCCAGAGTCAGTGCCTGCACTGTGCTACTGAGTCAGTGCCTGCACTGTGCTACTACCTGAGTAAACACTCCTTCTCTCAGGATACAGGTGTGC